CTTTTATAAAAATTATACCCGAATATTAACCTTATGACGTTAATTTGGGCTAATAGGAAGAATTAAATATTAATTTAAAATTAAACGAGGAATAAACAGGGGTTTAAAAATATATAGAAAAAAGGGATGTAAGGGATTAATTGGAAGAGAGTTGGGGAGATCTTAGAGTAAGGGAAAGTTGATAAAATTATAATTAATATAGTGTAAAGAGGGGAATATAGAAATTATAATTAGATATACTTTCAACAATTGAAGAGTTAGAAGGGAATAAATATTATGGAATATAGTAACTAATTAAGTAATATATATATATATATATATATATATATATATATATATATAGTTTTGGATATTTTTTCAGTTTTCTTATTTTTTTGTACTGTTACTCTTTTCGTTTCTGTCTTCTTTCTCTTTTCTATTTTTTATTCCATTACTTTTTTTCTTTGATCCCAACTTTTTCTTACTTTCTTTCTTTCTTATTTTAGTTCTTTCTTTCTTTTTATTCCTTTTCTTTCTTTCTTTCTTTCTTTTTATTCCTGCTTTTTCTTTCTTTCTTTTTTCTTTCTTATTTTAGTTCCTTCTTTCTTTTTATTCCTGCTATTTCTTTCTTTCCTTGTTATTCTAGTTCTTTCTTTCTTTTTATTCCTGCTATTTCTTTCTTTCTTTCTTTCTTTTTATTCCTGCTTTTTCTTTCTTTCTTTCTTTTTTCTTTCATATTTTAGTTCTTTCTTTCATTTTATTCCTGCTCTTTTTTTCTTTCCTTCTTATTTTAGTTCTTTTTTCTTTTTATTCCTGCTCTTTCTTTCGTTCCTTCTTTCTTTTTATTCCTGTATTTTCTTTCTTTCTTTTTATTCCTGTATTTTCTTTCTTTCTTTCTTTCTTTCTTTCTTTCTTTCTTTCTTTCTTTCTTTCTTTCTTTCTTTCTTATTTAGTTCTTTCTTTCTTTTTATTCCTGCTCTTTCTTTCTTTTTTCTTTCTTTTTTCTTTCTTTCTTATTTTAGTTCTTTCTTTCTTTTTATTCCTGCTCTTTCTTTCTTTCTTTCTTATTCTAGTTCTTTCTTTCTTTTTATTCCTTCTCTTTCTTTCTTTTTTCTTTCTTTCTCTCTTTCTTATTTTAGTTCTTTCTTCTTTCTTTCTTTTTATTCCTGCTCTTTCTTTCTTTTTATTTTCTGTTTTTAATATCACATCATTTCTTTCATGCACAATTTTCTTTTATAGAACTACTTTTATTCACTCATTTATTCAGATTTTTCTTATTCTTCTGAATTATTTTTTATTCTTTGTTGTTTCTCTTTTTTCCTCTTTTCTTATTCATTAAGCCAATCATTCAAACTTTTCTTTTTATGTATATATATATATATATATATATATATATATATATATATATAGAGAGAGAGAGAGAGAGAGAGAGAGAGAGAGAGAGAGAGCGATGGATAAATAAATTTTTGTTTATTTCTGATTTTGTCGACTTCACATTATAATAGGGTAAATTAGGCATCCTTTGTGAGGAAAAGAGCACCATGACGCAATTCACTCCAGCAGAAATTTGGAAATGATATTGTACTACTTGGCATTCGCGCCAAAAGGTCCAATACGAATATGTCAGAGTGTTTGAGTGTCAATCTAAGGACTGTGCAGAGGATTCGGAAAAAGTTGGATGGGTCTAATGGTTATTACGAAGGTGTTTGATCCCTAGTAATGGCCACGTTATGCCACCATTCATCTTCCCACAGTTCCACAGATTCAATACAGAGGCCTACATCAAGTGCCTTGAGGAGGTAGTACTAGCCTGGGTCAAGAGGGTGACTGCTGGAAAACTCTATGTCTGGTAACAGGATTCTATACTATGCTACACAAGCATTGATGGCTGTCAGAAATTTCTGCGACCACATCACACCTGACATCTGGTCGCCAGATTACTCCTCAGACTGCAACGCCCCTTAATTATTACGTGTGGGGCGCGGTCGAGCGACAGACCAACAAAACTTATTATAACACCAAAGATAAACTGAAGGCCAGATTTAATGACTGCATTCATCAACTTAAACAAGGAGACCATTCAGAAGGGATGCAGAGGATCTGGAGATCTGGAAATCGTCTGGAGGCCGTGCTTGAAGCCAATGGTGAATTTATTGAAGAAATTTACTCTTTAGTATTTCAAGATATTTTTGTGTAATTTTGGTAAATATATCTGTTAAAATGAGATATCAATATTATTTTCATTTTTGCATCATTTAGACGACGATTTATCCCTCGCACATTGTATATCTGTTAAAGTGTTATTTTAAATTTTGCGTCATTTAGACAATTTATCCATGGCGTCCTGTATATAAAAGAGAACACTGAGGTCAACACCCAACGGAGACAGTCTGTTTCATGCTCAAACACAATGTATATATATATATATATATATATATATATATATATATATATATATATATATATATATATATATATATACATGTTTCATTAAAAACGACAGACAAGGTACTACGGTTGAGCTTTTTTTTATTTAATTTTTCTTGTGTTCTGACAAGAGCTTTCTTTTCTGGACAAAGAGTGTGTAAGAACTGTCCGAATGTTCTGTATTTCCGAGCGCTTTAGCCATTATCAAGGATGATTCAATTATCAGCTTAGTAGAGTGTGTGTGTTCTGTGTCTGTTCAGTGTGTGGTAGTGATGTTTTTAGTTTCCGAATACGGTTAGCACATTGTGGCTTTGTGTTTTCTACTAGTATGTTCCTAATAGTGTCGGGTAAATTACCCGACACTATTAGGAACATACTAGTAGAAAACACAAATATATTAACTGCATCCACTTGCAAAAAAAGACTAAAAATAATGGAAGCTCTAATAATAAAAAAGAAAAAGCCAACTCTTAACAATATTAACTATGAACAAAGCCACATAAAGGAAGGATTGCTGCCTAAATATACAAATATATATATACATATACATATATATACATATATATACATATACATATATATACATATATACATATATATATATATATATATATATATATATATATATATATATATATATATATATATATATATATATATATATATATATATATATACATATCTATCTATCTATCTATCTCTCTCTCTCTCTCTATATATATATATATATGTGTGTGTGTAGCACCTCGAGGCGGTATAATCGGTATAATGGTTTATCAGGCGTGTTTCGCTAGAATAATTCCTGACTGAGTAGTGAGTTCGATCCTTACTGGATGCTCCTATCTTTTGGCCTCTGCTACATGTAAGATACACCTAGAAAATCACTATATATATATATATATATATATATATATATATATATATTACTTATTTATTGTCTTCTTTTCTTTCTCTTCTCACGCTTTTTTTTTTTTTTGTCTTCTTTCCTCTTTTACCCTTCTTTCTTCCTTTTTAACTCTTTTTTTTTTACCTTCTCTCTCTTCTGCCTGTGTTTCTCTCCGTCTATTTTTATCACCACTCTTTCCTTCCCGTCTTTTTATCTTTCTCTCTCATCTTCTCCGGTTATTTCCCTTCCTTTTTTTCTGCCTCTCGGTCATTTTAAACTCTATTACTTTCCTTGAAATACTTTCATGTTTTCTGTTCTTCCACATTTAATTGCAATTGAAATTCAATCATGACTATCAAGTTTCGCTTTAAAAACGTGCATAAAACAGATACAAGTGAGTCGCGTTATGAAAGAAGCCACTATGCCTTTAAATGGAAAATCAGCTCACATCTTCCGTTGCTATTTATATAGAAAAACTTCGTGTTCATAGCCTAAGACTTTATAAAAGCAAAATTAGCATTTCCTTTCTCAGACAACACTGTCTGTCTGTCTGTCTATCTGGATATATAGCTATCGCATCTTGTTTAGGTGTATGCGTATATGCGTATATCAATACATTCTTTCTCCTCCCCATCTCGATATATATATATATATATATATATATATATATATATATATATATAAATATATATATATATATATATATATATATATATATATATATATATATATATATATATATATATATATATATATATATATATATATATATATATATATATATATATATATATATAGGTAATATATATATATATATATATATATATATATATATATATATATATATATATCCAGGTAAGATATAATATATTAGGTACAATTCCAGGTTCGTAACCTTTAATTTAAAAGAGGGCTCAGTACAAAGTAGATCAATATTATTTATTTTAGGATATTACATCGAAAATATACAACCTCTATTTACGAAAAAGAAAAAAAAAGAAAGAAAGAAAACAAAAAGGCGTGTTATAAGGTTTGTGAGCTTATAAACTTTTTAACCCCACTTTTTTTCGTAAAAAGAGGTTGTATTTTGCTTTTAAGTCTAAATAAATTGTTCAATCGACAGTAATTTACAATGACTTGAGGTTACGCATTGATATGCGTTGAAACACGACTGCAATTGTGTGTATGATTTTGACATGTTTTCAGTGTAATATCCCCATATATATATATATATATATATATATATATATATATATATATATAGAGAGAGAGAGAGAGAGAGAGAGAGAGAGAGAGAGAGAGAGAGAGGGAGAGAAGTGGGAAGACTACACCTGCGCATGAACAAAGGATGCTGGGAATTTAAAATTAAAAATAAATATATATAATTTTTTTTATTTATCCGATTTCATTTAGATTCTTTTCCTTTCCATCCCTTTCGTTAATTGATATCGCACACTGTGACGAGTCGAATTTTATATGGCCAACCTTCAGAATATTTTTACTTGAACTTTGGACAATTTCGCAATAAATTTGTGCGAAACGATCAAGAAATAAGTAAACTTGAAAATATTTAATTAAAAATCAGTACATGAAGACCTTGTCAATCGAATTTAAACAAACTTTGACCATTTCCATCATTATCCTGGACATTAACTTTATCAGAGGCATAGAGAAAAGATGCTTCATCCTGGCATTTTAGGTACGCTAATGGTTTGTAATTTAAATATACCAGTTTGAAATGCAAGTATACTCATATATGAGGCGTCTTTTAGCTAAATATAAGAGGAATATCTATCTCATATCATTATCTCTCTCTCTCTCTCTCACTATCTATCTATCTATCTATCTATCTATCTATCTATCTATCTATCTCTCTATCTCAGTATCGTCATATCTATCTATCTATCTATCTATCTATCTATCTATCTATCTCAGTCTGACCACTATCAATTTGACTGAATGCATTTCTTTCTTGTTTTTGTATCAAATACTGACATATTTTAACAATTCAAATAAAATGGTTAAATAAAATGCCCTGGTCATTGACAGATCTGCAACTTCCATCCCATTTTACTTGTGATTGCCAAATTGAGATTTAATTAAAAATGTTTGACGCAGCTGGCCTTATATTCTCATGTTTCTTGTTCTCTATTCGGCGCTTAGACCCCCAATGCCATCCCAAAGATAAACAGAAATTCGAGATTTCTACTGCAGCAGAAAAAAAATGCTATTACACTGCAGTCAATAGTTATTTTACAGGAAAAAAAAAACACGCAGACTCTTAAGAATACATACAATTGTACTTATAACTTATGAGCCCCGTTCATATTATATTACATGCTAAAAATTGCCAAAGTGAAGGTATGTTGTGCTCTTGCGTAATAGAAATATGACTTGACGCTGTCATCATTTGATATAATCTGATGTGATTGTAAAAATAATGAATATGACATCTAAAAATAAAACCTTTTATATTGGGACGGAACAAAAGTTCATAGCATTCTTTAGGTGATTTTCAAAGTCAGGATTTAAATGTTTGTACATAGATTTATTCAAATAATGCCACTTTATCCTACTGTATTTGAGGCAGCTTTATAATTCCATCCTCACAGATCTTCCTGGATGATGAACTGGTTTTAGCTTTGACTCATATATACTGGGTGCAATGGATAAATTGTCGTCTAAATGACGCAAAAATGAAAATAACACTGACATCTCATTTTAATAGATATATTTACCAAAATTACACAAAAACATCTTGAAATACTAAAGAGTAAATTTATTCAATAAAATCGCCATTGGCTTCAACCACGGTCTCCAGACGACCTCGGAATCTCCTGCAACTCTTCTGGGTGGTTTCCTTGTTTAAATTGCTGAATGCTGCCATAATTCTTGCCTTTAGTTCATCTTTTGTTTTACAATCCTCTGCACTATCCTCAGATTGACACACAAACACTTTGAAATGTTCGTATTGGAGCTTCCGGTGCGAATGCCAAGCAGTACAGCATGCTGTTTCCAAATTTCTGGCGGAGTGAATTGAGTCATGGTGCTCTTTTTTCTCACAGGCGGTGCCCAACTGACCCTACTATACTGTGCAGTCGACAAAATAGAAAACAAACAAATCACATGCCCGAAATTAAAAATATAAAATGGCGGCAATTTATCCATCGTACCCTGTATATTGTTTGTTAAATTTTCTCAGTTACACTTAACTATGGCCAATTACACCGCAAAAAAGATCATTTTATAATCTTATCATAATTGTGTTTGTCCCTCCCCTCGTTAGGTTGCATGACCCTTACGTCCTGCCAGCACTTCATTAATAATGAACTATTCAGTTTTTATCTCATGTAAAGACAAAAAAAAAACTTACAAGAGACGCCACTTGGTTTCAGCGAAATAAAGACACAAAGATAGTAGTGTTTAATGTTTCCTGCTAATATCTCATATATAATAGACTATTTCGTTTTGACCGCGTAAGAAGACAAAAAATATCAACGACGCTACTTGGTTTCAGTGAGAAAGAAAGTGTTTAAATTCTCTTTTAGTGAAATGGAAAATGTTGTCAATTTCAAAACTGTCGAAATGATTCACTTGGTTTCAGTGAAAAAAAAGAAGAAGAAAAGACTAAAAAATAGAAGTGTCTAACGTCTCCTGCTAACACCTCATAAATAATGGACTATACCGTTTTGATCACGTGAGAAGGCAAAGGCCATATCACAGATTGTACATAGTTCAAGTAAGAAATAAAAAGAAAAAAAAAGAAGAAAGATAGAAGTGTTTTAACGTCTCCAGCTAACACCTCATAAATAATGGACTATACCGTTTTGATCACATGAGAAGGCAAAGGCCATATCACAGACTGTACATAGTTCAAGTAAGAAATAAAGAAGAAAAAAAAGAAGAAAGATAGAAGTGTTTAACGTCTCCAGCTAACACCTCATAAATAATGGACTATACCGTTTTGATCACGTGAGAAGGCAAAGGCCATATCACAGACTGTACATAGTTCAAGTAAGATATAAAGAAGAAAAAAAAGAAAGATAGAAGTGTTTAACGTCTCCAGCTAACACCTCATAAATAATGGACTATACTGTTTTGATCACGGAGAAGGCAAAGGCCATATCACAGACTGTACATAGTTCAATACAAGAAATAAAGAAGAAAAAAAAGAAGAAAGATAGAAGGGGTTTAACGTCTCCAGCTAACACCTCATAAATAATGGACTATACCGTTTTGATCACGTGAGAAGGCAAAGGCCATATCACAGACTGTACATAGTTCAAGTAAGAAATAAAGAAGAAAAAAAAAGAAGAAAGATAGAAGTGTTTAACGTCTCCAGCTAACACCTCATAAATAATGGACTATACCGTTTTGATCACGTGAGAAGGCAAAGGCCATATCACAGACTGTACATAGTTCAAGTAAGAAATAAAGAAGAAAAAAAAGAAGAAAGATAGAAGGGTTTAACGTCTCCAGCTAACACCTCATAAATAATGGACTATACCGTTTTGATCACGTGAGAAGGCAAAGGCCATATCACAGACTGTACATAGTTCAAGTAAGAAATAAAGAAGAAAAAAAAGAAGAAAGATAGAAGGGACTTAGCCAAGATCACTCACTCAAAGCCTTTTTTCCCCATTGATTATGGCTTAGCGCCTCTTTTCCAAATCGCCTTATTAATAAATTTATCAGTATATACGAAAGAGATTTTGCAGCGATAGTCTACAATGTTCAAAGAAGCGTGATCTTTGTCAAGACTCTCATGCTTTTCTCGCTCAAAGCTTTTTCTTAAAAATAAATGTAAATAAAATTTATTGAAATATTATTTATCAAATATAAATAGCATCATTTCCAGTGAGTGCATTCCGACGAGAAGGTAAATGTTCGATTCAAATTTTAAAGATATCTGTTATGATAGAGTGTTATGATGAAGTATTACGATTACTTGCATTATTTACATTATTCGGATTGTTATCCTCATCTTCATTGCCATTTTCGCAACGTTTCGGCCGTTGTACACTCTGGTCTTCATCAGGTAATTGGAATTTTTCTTCAGTATCTGTCTGTACGTCTGAGATGAGGTATTAATTATGATCACTTGCATTATTTACATTATTTGGACTGTTACCCTCATCTTCATTGCCATATTCACAACGTTTCGGCCGTTGTACGCTCCGGCTTTCTTCAATATCTGTCTATATCTCTGAGATCTATAGGATTATTATTTACATTATTCGGACAGTTATCCTCATCTTCATTGCCATATTCACAATGTGAATATAGCAATAAAGATGAGAATAATAGTCCGAATAATGTAAATAATGCAAGTAGATCTGTTTTTTACCTAATATTTGAAAGACTATTTTCAGCTTCTTTGTTTCTTATTAAAATTTGTAGCGATTGAAACATAAAAATGAGTAAGTGTTAAATCTCAGGAGTATAGGAGATTGTGGAAGAATATCCCATCCCAAGGATCATATATTTTCTTGGATTTCTTTTGCAGAATGTACTCTTATATTGTCATGTTGGAGAATAACACTAGTTTTTATTAGCAAAGTAAAATGATTTAGACAAAATACTTCGTTTACCCGATCAAGTTGCTGGCATTAAACGATTTCAGTGACGTCCCTTCCATGTTCCATTTGCCCGTAATGGACGACGCCTTTCATGATCCACCAGACACGAAGCAATGACCTCTGTGGATGGAGTTCCGATTATTGATACTGGTTTCTTATTTTGTGATAACCACTGTAATTTTTATTTCTGTCGACATGCAAAACCGATTTTTCATCACCTATAACGATGTGATACAAAAAGGAAAGGTTGATTTTCCTGGTTACCTGTGACAGATCCCTCTTTGCCTCCTATCAGCATGGCTGATGCTAACCTTCAGTAGAATGACTCGTTGCGCCTTCTCGGGTTAACATTCTCACTGATATGAAGTGGAAAGACTATATTGAATCCATTGCTAGGTCAGCTGCTAAGAAAGTTAGTGGTAGACAATTTTCTCCTAAGAATCTATCTTACATAGATATATATAAGTCTACTATTTGTCCATGTTTAGAATATTTCTGGCATCTCGTCTGCAGTCGCTCACTCACAGACGTGCCGTCACTTCCCTCTGTCTTTTTTTACAAATACTTTCACGGTAACTGCTCCGATGAGCTGCTTTCGCTGGTTCCCAGACTTCATGAATTTAAGCGTTCAACTAGGTTGGCATCTCTCTGTCGCCCTTTCACTGTCGAAACTGTTAAATGTAGCCGTCTCTTCTACTCCAATAGCTTCATGTCTCGCACTTCTCGCCTGTGGAAATCCCTCCTTCTTGTTTTCCTGATAGCTATAATCTTCAACTATTCAAATGTAATGTCAATCGACATCTCCAGATGCCCTGATCTATCCCCTATCCTTCTCGTCATCCTTTCCTCTATCACTCCTATTTGCTCTAACTCTCTGTAACTCCTTGAGTGCTAGTGGCCTCCCGCCTTGCTTGGGGTGAAACGCTTAAAAAAAAAATGGTCCGGTGCTCCTGTTAGTTATCTAGAGCTCCTTCATAAAATTCAAAGAAGAATCAGCAATATTATTGGTCCTGATCTGTCGTCTCGGCTTTAGTCACATTTCCACTGCCGTAAAGTTGCCTCTCTGTGTCTTTTCTATAAAAAGACTTTCATGGTAATTGTAAGAAGAGCTCTTTGATATGGTACCGAGACTTTTTGAATTTAAGCGCAGTACTAGTCTGGAGATTAAGTTTCACCAATTTACAGTTGAGTTGGTTAGATGTAGCTGTAAGTTCTATGCTAACAGTATCTTTTCTCGCACTTCTCGCTTGTGGAACTCCCTTCCGGCACTATGTTTTCCATCCAACTTTAATCATTAAAAATTTAAATGTAACGTCTTTAGTGCCTTGCTTGGTGTGAACACGATTTAAAAAAACAAAACAAAAACAAAAAAACAAAAAAAAACAACGAAAAACTCTGAAATGTTCTATAAAAGACACACAGTGGAGCAGCAGAGATTCTAAACTAATTCTAGACTCAGTTTCCTACCATTCAACCTTGGTTTGGCTTGGTTTGGTTTGTTTTACGGCATATCAACCTCAATGGGTTATTTAATGCCGACAAGATTTTTATTGCTGGGAATATTTTTTCCTCCAAAAATTCATTGCTGCTCATATTTTTTTTTATTGCTGGTTATATTTTCTATCTATCTATCTATCTATCTATCTATCTATCTATCTATCTATCTATCTATCTAAGTATATATTGATTTGGTTTGTTTTGTTTTACGGCCTATCAACCTCAATGGGTTATTTAATGCCGACAAGATTTTTATTGCTAGAAATATTTTTTCCTCCCAAAATGTATTGCCGATAATATTTTTTTTATTGCTGGTTATTTTTTCTATCTATCTATCTATCTATCTATCTATCTATCTATCTATCTATCTATCTATCTATCTATCGGTTTGGTTTGTTTTGTTTTACGGCCTATCAACCTCAATGGGTTATTTAATGCCGACAAGATTTTATTGGTGGGAATATTTTTTCCTCCAAAAATTCATTGCTGCTCATATTTTTTCCAAAAACGTATTGCTGGCAATATTTTTAAATATTTTGCTGGTAATAATATATTGCTGGTAATAATTTTTTTCTTCAAAAATTCATTGCTGGTAATAATTTTGTTACAAAAATGTATTGCTCGTATTAAAACCTATTTTTACACTTTTATAGTGTTTTGGCCACAGTTTGGGGGTCAACTATTTGCCGGGTGGACCGGGGAACACTAGCAATTAAGAGGGGGTTCCACGCTCCTCAAAACCTCCTGATCAAAGGCCTTGCTGTCGGATGTAGTTTATCGTCTTACCCAGGACGCTTCGACCTTGGTATTACGTTGGTTGGTTGATATAATTCATAGTAGTGAAGTACGCTATTACTTCCGAAACAAACTAATTTCTTCTCTTGAAGAAATATCAGTTTAAAATATTATTGTGTTGTCGAGTTTTCTATTCAAACGTAACTTTCAACATTTGAGAGGAGGACGACTACTACTACTACTACTACTACTACTACTACTACTACTACTAAAAAATAAAGCTTAAGTGTAAGCAGAACGTGATTTTTGAGCGCGTTTTCGAGTGTGTTCATGTATGTGTATATCTCTCAGTGATGGAAACAAATCGTTACTTACGACCTCAAGCCGAGCACGCCGCCATGTTCCTTACCGGACAGAAACTGTGGTTGTGTTTGCTTCCTTTTTTATTGAAGAGCGCACATCGCCGGTGATCCGGAAGTTATCCGGAATTGGACCATAAATTGTCAAGAGGTGTGGCTGTGGGGATGGTAAACATTGTAGTTAACAGAAGGTACACAAGTCAATAACAGATCAATATTGGATGGGTCATCGCGGAGAGGCGGTATGATGTTTAAAGACCCGAAACCCCTAAATGGACCTCGGCTAGAAACATCACTGATGATGTACACCAAAGTATCCTATAGATTTATTTTAAGAAAACCAATCTATGTTATAAAATAATAAAATAAAGACTTATCGCTTATCATATATAATAATTTTTTAATGTCATATTTGTTTAGGATGTCGTCGATCAGGGTACTACACAAAGTCCTCTTTCTTTACTGTAAATTGCCATAACGTCTAAGAGATAGTGGAGAGGTCCTTCTTCTTTATGTACCGTGTCCCTTTAATACATAGGCGATCATGGCTCTCCACTACTTCCTGTCCTTTGCAGCTTTTATTAAACTTTGTCTTTCTGTTATTTTTCCTAAGCATTGTTCTGCTATACATCTACTCAAGCTCACTATGTCATGCGTTGTTTTCCTCTGTCCCTCTTGCCATCAATCTGTCTCGTAAGTATCAATTTTTCCAAGCCCTCTTTCCTCATTATAACTGGTTTCTAACCGAGGATAAAGAGCCCTCTTTTATCTGTCCCATAGCTGGTAGGAGAAGATATCGGTTTATGACCTTAAGAGGGGCTTCTACGCGAAATTGAACGTATCAGACTGGGCAAGAATTCGATCTAGCTTCGCTTAATTCACTTTCTGTCCCGACAACCGTTACGTAATCGCACCTTGGCAACCGCTCCATGGCAACCATTCCACGGCAAAAATATTAAACAAAAGATCCGGTGTCAAAGTAAACTGAATAAAATTCTGCCGTGAATTTCGAAATGCTACCTCTGTTAACTGTCGAAA